TTTCTTTACTATTTTTTTTTTACTTTCGATAATGAAGCGTTCCTATATATTGCAGTGAGAGAATGTATTATCTTCCCCAGAGAGTTTGGTTTTAGAAATCCCATCATCGAAGAATATTATGAACATTTTGAATTTTATTAAAGAAAAATAATCTGATTTAGTTGTAGGGATATTTTTTTTTAAAAAAAAAAAATTAAGAGCGGTGTAGCAAGTAGAATGAGTGTGTCATGTGTGAAAAGTAGAATGTAAGGTGATTTAGTTAGAGGGACTTTTTTGAAATTTTAAGAAGAGTGTAACAATTAGATTAGGAGGCGATTTAAGAATGTGTGTGTGAAAAGTAAAATAAGGGGTGTCAATAGACGCACCTATTCTAATATTAGTTATTAAACAAACAAAAAAATAGAGAATTTACATTTGACAGTGCATGAGTCTGGACATTTATTCCTTACTCTTGATAAATACTATTTTATTAGTGTAATTATTTGACTAAAAATGTTATGAATCAAGAATAAAAGGGTAAAAATCATGACTCATACACTTTTTAAGGATATTTGTCAAGATTACCGTTAAATTGAAAAAAAAAATAAAATAAAAAAGATCGTGTAAAAATATCATCACCACCTTGAAAATGCTTAATGTTATGTTATGGCAGGGTTATCAATTTTGGAGCAGAGCTGACGAGAAGGGTTATTTCAACATTAACAATATAAGAGCAGGCGATTATAATCTTTATGCATGGGTCCCGGGTTTTATCGGTGATTATCGGTATGATGATCTTATTAAAATAACTCCAGGTATTATTTTTCTGTACTTGGGGCTATTAAAGAAATAAAAAGTAAGAAAACATGTAAATGTTGGATTTCTTACGGTGTGCTTGTAATGTCACAGGTTCTGATATTGATATGGGAGAACTTGTTTATGAGCCTCCAAGAAATGGGCCAACATTGTGGGAAATTGGCATTCCTCTGCGGCAGAGTTTTATGTTCCTGATCCTAATCCCAACTATGTCAACAAACTCTATGTTAATCACCCTGATAAGTAATTAGCATACTCTATATATCCTTATATATGTTCTTTTCATATAGCTAATGATCAATTGTGGAGCCCGAAAATTAGATGTGAAAAATGTGAAGAGATAATTTTTTATTAGATACGGACATAGTTATATATTATAATTATTGAGTGGGAACATGATATAATTTTGCTTGTAGAGAGTGATAACATGAGTACTAAAATTAAAAAAAAAAAAAAAAAAAAAAAAAAAAAAAAAAAAAAATTTAAAAAAACTTGTAGGTGTAAAAGTTATGCTCTTTAAATCTGACATAAATTAATTTTTAGACAAGTGTCAAATATTAATCTTAACTAAATAATCGTGCTTATTATACAGTTTTGAAGTGAAACAAGGATTTCCCTTTTCGAAATTGGCAGGTTTAGGCAGTATGGACTTTGGGAAAGATACGCAGAGTTGTACCCAGATGAAGACTTGATTTACACAGTTGGTGTCAATGACTACAGCAAAGATTGGTTTTTTGTTCAGGTCACCAGGTATGATTTTAGCTAATTCCTTCTGAGCATGTCTCGTATGATACGTTTGGTTCACGCGTTTAAGTTAGTATCCGTTTGGTTTATGAGTTCAAACCATATTTCATGATTTTAACTTTTAAAATTTATATTTTTTATGAAAAGAAAAAACACTATAACAGAACAAAAAATCATAGTTTGAACCGTACAGAACCCTTAAAACAAACATCACCTTAGTGATTTTAATTATGAATTCAAATTTTGTGAGATAACTCATTAGCAAAGACTTTTTTTATTCAAATTTTTTATGAAAGAAAAATATTATATCAAAATCAAAACATAATTTCAAACATGTGAACTAAATAGGCTCTTATATATTGGCAGAGAAACGGATATACATCTCACTGTGTGGGAGAGAGAGGAAAAGAAAAATAAAAACAAGTGATTTATGCAAACTGTTGTAATCACTCTATCTAATTATTTAAGTCGTTGTAATTACATTTGGGATTGAGTAAAAAAAAAAAAAAAAAAAAAAAAAAAAAAAAAAAAAAGATCTTTTTCATATGAAAATTGAAAAGCTTTTGTTTGTTTTGCAGAAAGAAAGATAACAACACATACGAAGGAAGTACATGGCAAATAAGGTTCTGCCTTTCCAATTATGTGGATGGAACTCAAACCTACACGTTACGAATAGCTCTAGCCACTGCACATTTTTCCGAATTGCAAGTACGTCATATTCTGTTTGTTCTAATATGCAAATTAATAAGCTTCTTTTTTTTTTTTTTTTTTTTTTTCGTTGTTAATCTTATGGCAAATGCACTCAAAATGAAAAGCTTTATGATATGGTACGATTGTTTAGTTCCACAGATCGAGCAAGTGTTCGTTAGTCATTTGGTCAAATTTTTAACGGTTTACGAGTGTGAGAACTTTTGTTCACAATGTATGAACTTGTAGATCAGTCTGTTAAAATAACTAAAAAAAATTTTGCGTTACTTGCCCTACTTTAGAATTTTCGTTACATGTTCATAATATGTGACAATTTCTAACCAGATTTTTCCCCTTGTTTTTTAATCTCTTAAAAGGTTCGGATTAACGACCCAGAAGCAATTTCTCCTTTATTTAGCACTGGAGTAATAGGAAAAGACAACACCATTGCGAGACATGGAATTCATGGGCTGTATTGGCTATACAACATAGACATCCCAGGGAATCGGCTTTTGGTAGGAAACAACACAATTTTCTTGACCAGATTAAATAGCACCAGCCCTTTCCAGGGAATCATGTATGACTACATTCGTTTAGAAGGTCCTGTTGATACAATTTGAGTACAAATGAATAGAATTATGTGGTTATAAAAAAAAAATAGATTAATTACTATAATGCTCATGCCCTTTGTAAAAAAAACCAGATGGACAAAAGAAAAGGGCACGTTATGTATATTACATACCTACTGATAGTGTGTTAGGACATCTTTATTCGTTACATTTTTTGAATGTTAAATAGTGTCAAGATTGTATCGTCATTGAATTTGGACCTTTCTTTCAAGATGATTCGAATTTTTAATTCGAGTTAAGATGTAACTTTATGTAAGAGCTTTTTACTGTAATAAAAAAGTTAATTGTGATTGTTTCCAAGAGCTTTTTACTGTAGTAAAATTCGAATCGGTAAAATAAACAGAACATTAGCTTGATCCTTTAAGATTAACTCTCGACTTTAGGCTCATTCTTTTATGTCATTTTGGGTCTTTTTTTCTGATCATTGTTTTGCCTTTTTCACTTTTCTCTAATTTTCTGGACTTTGACATTTCTTTTTGTCTTTTCACATTGGAGTGGGGCGCTAGACATAAGATACGACCTTTAGAGGGTATCTACTTAATTGAGATGTCCTTAAACTTCTTAATGGAATGTTTAATTCTTGATCTTGTTTTTATTTTGCGTTTTTATATTCTACCATGGTATATATCATCATGTAATCAAGTGTTGTGTTTTTCTTCTTCTTGGCCATTTGAGGAATATCGTCATGTTTATTAAATTAAAAGGACATAACTATTATTTCTCACACACAAATGTGAATTTAACAGCACGTCAAGGTAACGTGGGCACGATAACTGGTACACCAGAAATTCGTCTTTCCCGATCCTCTCGTATTAGGAAAAGATCCTCTCAATACTCTAAAGCCCGAACTAGATATGGACTGAACTGTCTAATGACGTTTGGAACCCAACTCACGCACCATTTTAATGGGGAACAGCCCAACTCTTGGAACATAATATAGCCCTCAAATCAGTCGCTACCCATCACAACTTTAAACAATTGTATGCAAAATAGCACTACTGCCGCTTACAATTTAGTTCTTTTATTTTTGGGAAATAGTAGGAAATAGGCCAATATGAAAAGCTTAAAAAAGTATATAGGCCAACTTTTAGTTATAGAAATTAATAGGCCATAACTTATCAAGTTATGGTTCATAACCAGATAAGTTATGGGTAAACTTGTCAAGTTATGGTTCATAACCAGACAAGTTATGGACAAAAACTAGGAATAATTTGTCAAGTTATGATTCATAATTACCGTACAAGTTATGGACGAAAACAGTAATTTGGCCTATTTATTAACTTATGTAAACTATTGACCTATTAATTTTAATTCATCTCAAATCTTAGCATATTTTCCTCTTTCTCTCTTTATTTTTTTATGTGGTAAATATACACATCAACAATATATAACAGGTAGAGTCTACTCATGATAAAGATAGCAAAGATTGTTATCATAACTTGTACCCTTCTCTTTACCATTTTTGCAACTTTTCCTGCTCACTGGGGATGGTTACTTCAGATTGTTTTGTGTTATTAGGCAACCAATAAGCATCAAAGATAACAGCTTGCACGTTTGCTCCAACAGTTCTAAATTCTTCACAAAAAAAATATAAACCATGTACTGCAGTATAACACTATATGTAAAGATTTGTGACGTAGTTATAAAACATTAAATTTCAAAGATGTAAAAAAAAGTATTTCACACCTTTGTCATGGCTTATTACTACATATATTATACTATTTCCTAATTGGTGGATGCTTCTTTGCTTTCACAATATGATGAGACAATATACACGCCTGTAGCATGCAGTGACGACTGAGTAAAGAAATATATTATCCAAAGCTAGAGACAAAAACCACAAGTAAAGTAAAATATTCAAATAAAAAATGCCGTCATCTTTACGTTCAAGTAAAGCATACCTAAACGATTCTCGTGAACCATGGAATAATATTTGTCTTCCATGTCCATAACTATATATATATATATATATATGCACAACACATGACCAAATTTCTTCTCAACTCTACTTTACTTTAGAGTTTTGGCCAACTTTAGCTCAAAAACTAGCAAGTGTTATTAATTATCTTTCAGAAAATTCATCAACTAATCTTCTTTCGTTAGAAATTACTAAAAATAAAAAATAATATATATTTTTGTTCGTTTAACTATTCTCCTTTATTAGCGCTGAAAGCTATGTCGTACAAAGGAGTGGAACTGCGTGTTACAAAGAATCATGTAAGCGAGTCATGTTCTAAATACTCTTTCTTCATTATTAAATAATTGGTTTAATTTGTTTTTTACAGTTAATTTTGGGACATAGTTATAAATAATATTATGCGGGTCGTATACAAAATGATTTGCAGGTGATTATGGACAACGGCATACTTCAAGTAACGTTGTCAAAGCCAGACGGAATTGTTACTGGAATAAAGTATAATGGCATCGACAATCTACTTGAAGTTCTTAACGAGAAAGATAACAGAGGGTATTATATATATATATATATATAATTATGTTTTTATGTATATATAGACGTACGTATTTCTTACTATGATTATATATTAATTTACACAAACCAAAACATTCAACTATACAAACAATAATTCATTAATGCGTGAAGGTGATAATTATATACTAATTAAACAATATATCGACCACTTGTACATATTATTGTTTTTTATCATATTTGAACGCCCAAGTCATAAGACATGATACAAACCATGTACTGCAGTATAACACTATATGTAAAGATTTGTGATTAGACCAGAAGTCAGTAGATAATTAAATAGCTTTACTGCTGTCGAAGGTTTAATTTATGTTTTATAGAATTAAAAAAGTTGTCACATTGAACTGAATTAAATTTGCAGGTATTGGGACCTTGTTTGGAGTAAAACCGGAAGTATTGGAACCACGGGAGTATATGATAGGTATCGCGAATAACTTACGAACACTAATTTTAATCTCAACTTTTATAGCGTGCAACTCTTAAATAATTGTCATTTTCTTTTTTACGTAGGTTTAAAAAATTGTCACATCTATAAATTGTTCCTACTAATAAAAAAAAATTGACAACTTAAAAATTAGTACAAAAGTTGAGATTAAAATCAATTGCCCTAGCATTATTTATTATTTATTATGGGAATTATTGAAATTCCTTTTTAATTATAAGTAAAAAAAAATGAAGGCGTAAATTATTATTTCGCTAGTTTAATTTCCTAGTAAAATGAAGAAATATTGAAATATTGAAGATTATATGCATACATATATACACATACATATTTTGCAGGATTCAAGGGACAAAGTTCAAGGTCATAGTGGAAAACGAGGAACAGGTAGAGATTTCATTCACAAGAAATTGGAATCCCTCTCTTGAGGGCCAACTTGTCCCGTTAAACATAGACATCAGGTTTGCAACATGTATAATTCTTATACATTATTATACATACAATTAGTACAAATATATGTATATATCTGCTGACAAAATAAGCAGCTAATAAATTTTTTTAATACAAAATCTACCCTAATGATTATAATTGAATTATATAGTACTAATATTGTATTTCCATGGATGAAATAAAATTTCAGGTTTGTAATGCTTCGTGATTCGTCAGGCTTCTACTCGTACGCCATCTACGAGCACTTGAAGGAATGGCCTCCTTTCAACCTTCCCCAAACCAGGATTGTATTCAAGCTTAGAAAGGAAAAGTACTGTATCAATTCTTGTAAATTAACTTGGTCCTTATTTGGTTCGCAGTTTGAACCACAGTTTAAACATTTCTGTTACAATATTTTTTTTTATATAAAATTTTAAATTTCTGTCCAGACTTTTTATTTAACATATGAACCAAACGACTCTTAATATATGATAATTAATGTAATAATTAGTTATTATCTTTCTTCCATGTTGATATTTGATTTTGGCTCGGTTAACTTTTAGGTTTCAGTACATGGTAGTAGCAGATAATAGGCAGAGATACATGCCTCTTCCCGATGACCGGCTACCGGATAGAGGCCAAGAGCTTGCGTACCCTGAGGCTGTCCTTCTTGTGAATCCTGTTGAGCCCAATTTCAAGGGAGAGGTAGGGTTGTTCTTTTAGAATGTTATTTGAGTGTAGTTTTTTAGTTGAATTTGAGTTATAATTTGAATTTAAAGTTGTAACTTGAATAAAGTTAGAACTTAAGAAAACGTGAACTTGAATAAAGTTGTAACTTGAGTTTAAACTTTTTTTGAGTTTTGTTGTAAAAAAAATATGCATGTGTATGAACTTTAGCCACGTAATGCTAATTTTTGTGACAAATTTTCAGTGGCTAAACTTTTGTCATTAAAGTGATTATTAGCAACTAAAGTAACTATTTAAAGGGCTTGTTCTTTTAGAGTAAAACTCAAAAAAAATTTGCACTCAAGTTGCAACTTTATTTAAGTTCATATTTATTTGTAAAATTTGAGTTTGAACTTGAGTTTTAACTTGAATTTAGGGCTAAAATCTGAGTTCAAGTTTCCCCTTTAATTTAAGTTCTTAAACTCAAATTCAAGTTAATGAACAATAATTTTTATATTCTTAAAACGTCATAACTTTTTCATTTTAATTCCGATTGAGATGATTTTTTTTATGCGTTCACAACGAAGAGACAAATAAAACACCACCCATATACCCTATTAAAATTTTTCATCACCATTGAGAGTTATTAAAACACTATTTAAATACAAATTCAAGTTTTGACTCATTCAAACACAAATTCAAATAGATTATCAATTCAAATCATAACTTAAATGTGCACATCCAAACACAAACTCAAGTTACAACTTCAACTCAAATTCAACTCAAGATTTACACTCAAGTCACCATAACTCAAAAATGTAACCGAACAAGCTAAAAAACTTTAGTCACAAAAAGTAAATTTTCTTGTAACGTGTATATAAGTTTAGTTTAGGATTCAAGTGGCAAGAGCATATTATGAAGAAATATTGTGCGTGTTTAGAATCGTTTTTAAAAACGGTTTTAACGTATTTCGAGAAGTAAAAAATGAAACGACGTTTGTTTAGTAAATGTTTTGAAAACAAAAATGAAATTAAAAACAACGAGAATAATTTTTGTGAAGAAATTAGAAAACAGTTGAAAGTTATCTTCACTTTTCTATTTTTATTTTTTAGTACTTATCAATAATATTATAATATATTAATTAATAAACACAATTTTATTTTTTTATTATACTCAAAACAATCTCTTAAAAACTAACCAAACACAACTTTAGAATCGGTTTCAGAATGATTCTCAAAATAATCTCATTTTTACTTTTTATTAAAAATAAAATTATTTTAAAACTAATTTCAAACGCACCTATTAACTCCTCATTAATAATAAAATAAATAAATAAAAAGCTAGTCTAAAATACTTATGATAATGAGACTTATAATTTGGTTAGGAAAATGCATTGTTTTGTGTAGGTGGATGATAAGTACGAATACTCGTGTGAGAACAAAGATTTGAAGGTCCACGGTTGGATATGCGATGAACCGCCTGTGGGGTTCTGGCAGATTACACCTAGTAATGAATTCCGATCTGGTGGACCTCTTAAGCAGAATCTCACATCTCACGTGGGACCCACTACACTTGCTGTAAGTAACCAAATCCAGAAAAAAAAAAAAAAAAAAAAAAAAAAAAAAAAAAATTTTAAAAAAAAAAAAAAATTTTTTTTTTTGTTTTTTTTTTTAACCCAAGTTTAAGAATATGTTTTACATTATAACAGATGTTTCTTAGCGCTCACTATGCTGGAGAGGATATGGTGCTGAAAATTCAACCCAATGAACCATGGAAGAAAGTTTTTGGCCCTGTTTTCATTTATGTTAATTCCGTTCCAGATGGGAGTGATCAGTTTCGGGCTCAGCTTTGGGATGATGCTAAAATGCAGGTAAAGATTGGCGAGCACAAATTAGACGTTTTCGTGCAATTCAAATTTTTATTATAAGATTTTTTTCTCATAAAAATTTAAATTCAATATTTTCAATTTAAATTTTTAACTCGGATCTATAAAACAAACGGCATATAGTTGTTGTGATTTTAAACACAAACTCATCGATTTTATCTAGTCAATCTAAATATAAACCATACTAGAGTAGCACTAATTACAGTTTTAATAGCAGCTAGCAATCTAATGGGTGTGCCACTAATACTCATTATTATACACTAATAGAAAATAGACTTTACAAGTAATTACAAAAAATAATACTATAATTATTTGTTAATTATCATAACTGTTAAAAGAACATGACGTGACAGTGATATAAAAAGAAATAAATTATTATTTTTTATATATTGGTGCCCGTGGGTAAACCAAGGCCTAATCTTCCGTCGTGTATTCAGATGTTGATAGAAGTACAAAGCTGGCCATACACTTTTCTAGCCTCTAAGGACTTTCCATCATGGGATGAACGGGGTTACCTCAGTGGTAGATTATTAGTGAGAGACCAGTAAATGCTCCCCCCTATTACTTTTGATTTTTTTGTGCATAGATTCTTTAGGGCCCGTTCACTTCGCTGATTTGAGTTTGTAATTCGAGTTGAGATGTGATTTTGTGTGAAAACTTTTTACTGTAGCAAAAAAGTTAGATGTGACTGTTTCAAAGAGCTTTTTACTGTAACAAAACTCGAATTCTAAACTCAAATCGGCGAAATGAACGAGGCCTTAGGCAAATTATTATTATTATTATTATTATTATTATTTGAAATCATTAAAAAAAATTAATCTCTCTACTCTTACTTTTTAAGGTACATATCTAATGACGATATGTGTGGAGATCGTGCTTACGTGGGCTTAGCACCGCCCGGTGAAGTTGGATCGTGGCAAAAGGAATGCAAGGTGATTTTTGCAATGTTCTCTTCTTTTTCTGTCTATTTTATTCCTCGAGTCATTTAAGAGAATGGTCTCAATTTTAGCAACACTTATAAGTTGAATTAAAAACAAGGGTATTCTGAGGCTTATCAACATCAGTTTGATATAGACACACATGAATTTAATACTTGTAGAGTAGCCTGAATTAATGGTAAATGTTAAAGAGTTAAACAAAAACGCCCTCATGTCCCTTTCAAACAAGCTTATGTAACATGCATTCTAACATCCGCTGTTAACAATTTAGGTACTCCTCAAAACTTAGATGACGTTTAGTTGGAGGATTCAAACTATGATTTGAATCACTGTTCATGATTCACTACAGTATTTTTTCTCACAAAAAATACACGTAAATCAAAAATAGTTATAATAACATGATTCTAATGCATGAACCAAACGTCTCCTCAATTAAATTCAAAAGATAATTTGTCAGAATTAGAAGGACATTGTTTTTGTCGTTTTCTGTGCAAATATATATAATTAACTCGTACGAAAGACTTTTGAGTCTTATTCATATGAAAGAAATGATTAAACAAAATGATCACGAGGAGAAGTTTGATATGTAGAATAATATTATTAGGTACGTTGAAATACAGTAAACAATTTAAAATATTTTATAAATAATGAAGATAAAATAATTAAAACAGTTACTACCCATTTTTGTCGTATAAAAAACGTGAAAATCATTATACTAATTATTATGTACTTGTGTTATTTTTAAAAAATATTTTGAAAAATTATAAATATTTTCAACTCTACCTTTCAAAATATATAGCATGCGTTGTAATTTTTACATTAAGTAGTAGGACAATAATATGACTTTTGTTAAAAGTGTAAACTTAATTTTTCCGTGAAAATGGTAAATATATTTTTGACACACAACTTGGTTAGCCCCTTTTCTTTTTTTTTTTTTTCAGAAAAAGGGTTTGTTATAGTTTCTTCTGGCTCCACTCAAAACTTTATTAAATTCAATCCGCCATACATACATGTTTATGTAGATTAATACATCTAATATACATTATATAAAAGTACTACAATATTCCCATGTAAAAATGGCGGTATTCGTATCATTGCTCATGATTAATTCATATATTTCCTTCATTATCATTACTTTATTTCCACAGGGTTATCAATTCTGGACAAGAGCAGATGAGAATGGCTATTTTTCTATTTGCGATATTCGTGTTGGTGAATACAATCTTTATGCGTGGCTTCCTGGTTTCATTGGAGAGTACAAAAATAACGTCACCATTAGCATAACCGAAGGTCTTCTCCGGATATACTAATAACAGTCCACATCAACCATTTTTATAAACTAATGTATACACAAACCATGATTAATTAACATAAAGCTAACTAATTAAGTATGCAGGTTGCGATATTGACGTGGGTGACGTCGTGTTCGAACCTCCAAGATATGGACCCACCTTGTGGGAAATAGGCGTTCCTGATCGCTCCGCTGCTGAATTTTATGTCCCTGATCCTAATCCCAAATACATTAATCCTCTTTATCTTAATCACCCTGACAGGTAATTAGAACCACTTAGACTTCATTCATTTCACTGATTCGAGTTTAGAATTCGAGTTTTATTACAGTAAAAAACTCTAAAAAACAGTCACATTTAACTTTTTTACTGCAGTTAAAAAATTTTCACATTAAATCACATCTCAATTAAAATTAAAAACTCATATTAATAAATTAAACGGCCCTTAACTTCTACTTTTTCACTAAGCTCATAAAAATGGAATATAAAAAATGACATGATTGTCACCCTCAACAAAGTTATGTAAGCCATAGCACGTAAAGCATACTTCCAATTTCAAAATTTAAGAGAAAAGTTCGACTAATGCACCCCTGTTTGGTTGGGCAATTCCGCGCAACTCAGCCCAATTCAGTTAAAGATTGTGTTTGCAATTAGTGTTTAAAAAGAACATTAATTGCAATTGAATTGCTCATTCAACTTGAGCTGGACCTTGAAATCAGAGTTTTAACCCCCAAACAATTCAACATTTCAAACCAGTATTGTACAGAGTTAAAGCAACTCTCAATTGTAACTTTTTTTTAACTGGGCCCACAGGACTTATGCCTCCCATTATGCATTGATGGCCGTTTACTATTAAAATAATACCTACAAAAAATTTAATTACTAAATTTTTACTCAAAAAAGACCAAAAAAAAAAAACCTTAAAAAAAGGTAAGAAAAGAGACCCAATTAAAAATAACACCTACAAAAAACTTAATTTTTATATAGATAATTTTTCTTAAATTAAATTTTTGGTGTTATATTATTGCTTATGCATTATCTTTTTTTTTTATTTTTAAAAATTGCTACCCAATTAAAAAATGTTATTACTTAGAAAACTTTCCTTTAATAAAATTTTAGGTGTTGTATTATTTTTTATGCATTATAGTACTCTATTTTTCAGATCAAACTACAATTTTTAATTTTCATTCAAACACGAATTCAGATTATATTATTTGTTTGAATTAAAACTTTAAATACATAATTAAACGTCAGTTTAGATTATTGCTTAAATTTTTTTATTCAAATAAAAAATATTAAAATTAACACAATTTAAATCAGCAAAACAAACAGATTAGTTGTTGATTATGTTAAGAGTTCGCGTTATTAGTTTTCGAAACCAACAAATTAAAGACTACTAACATCGAGTAACGTGTAAAATGGTGTGAAATCTTATCCAAAGTGCTTTTTTCTTAAATGTTCTTTTTTTTTTTATTATTTCTTATAATGGGACAGGTTTAGGCAGTATGGATTATGGGAAAGATACGCAGAGTTATATCCTGATCAAGATTTGGTTTACACTATTGGCGTTAATGACTACAGTAAAGATTGGTTCTTTGCCCATGTTACAAGGTTCAATAATATCCATAATTTCTGCCAAAATAATCTCCACTTTTTTACTTGTCATGATCTTCTTAGAAACGTTTTTTTTTGAATGAAAACAAGAAATTAGAAGAAGGGCCTCGATATTTCTGAGCTACCAAACAAGCCTTTTGGTGTATGACAGGAGAAAAGCTGATGGCACATATCAAAGTACTACTTGGCAAATTAACTTTCCTCTCGGCAATGCAACGACTAGAGGAACTTCTAAACTTCGCATTGCCCTTGCTACTGCAAATGTCGCAGAATTACAGGTATGGATCAGTCCAACTTCGTATTTATAAAATTCATATAAAATTATTGGGGCTAGGGTGCTTAGATTTAACTTTTTGTCAATCCCTTTAGGTAAGTTATCACAAAGTTTTTAATTTTAACAAATTTCAAAAATATTTGTAAGTGCCTCTAAATGGATGGTTCTTATAAAAGTTTGATGGTTACGTAAACTTGTCAGAAGTAAGAGATTAAAATTTTGTTAGAAGCCACTTAAAGTTTTAATTAATAATTAAAACGCGTAAGAGATTAAAATTTTGTCAGAAGCCATTTAAAGTTTTAGTTAATAATTGAAACGCATCATATATATATATATCCGACTTAAAAAGTACTTTGTAACGTTTGAAATTTAAAGGTCAAAAACAGTTAATGTTCTGGTGATAGTGTTATAACATAAGAATTAACAAGTGTGACATGATTAGTTTCATATTGCACGTTTCTATTTTTCTCTAATTAACGAGTACTTTGTTCCCCCTTTTTTTTTTCCCCAATGAAATAGGTTCGAATAAATGATGCCAAAGCAGAGCGGCCCCTGTTTACGACAGGAGTAATTGGAAACGACAACACAATAGCTAGGCATGGGATTCATGGTTTATACCGGCTGTTTAACATAGACGTACCAGGATCCGTGCTTGTGGAAGGGAACAACAAAATATTTCTAACACAGGCAATGTGCACTAGCCCCTTTCAGGGCGTTATGTATGATTATATTCGCTTAGAAGGCCATCCTGCATCTTCTACTGACTAAATAAAAATGCTTGTAATTGATTTCATTAGGAGTTTAGTCCTTGAACTATGACATATTTATCTGGAAAACTTGTTTTAAAGTACATACTATGTTTATGTACTACAATTGACATGTGGAATTATTTATGTTTTTTTTTTTTTTTTTTTTTTTTTTTTTTTTTTGTTACTAGAGAGAAATGTGGATGGTTTAATAAAGTCAAGGAAATTAAGAAGCCTAAAATACGAATCGAATATTTGATTCAAAAAAGTATAATTTTTGAACTCCTCTCTAATTCCACAATTAGAATTGTGCATATTGTTTTTTTCTCTCTCTCTTTTTTATACATGTCGTGTTAGTTAAAATATTTTAACCAAAATTACAGTGATATCTAAAATATATTAACCAAAATTACAGTGATATAAAATTTGTAATTAACATGGCACGATAGTATTGGTATTGGAAAGACATAAATGAAAATAATGACACAAAAGTGGATTCTTATGGACAATAAAATTCCGAATGGTGTTTAAAGGAAAAAAAAAAAAAAAGCAAAAAACCATTAGTCATAGACATGAAAATAAATAAAGAAAGAAAAAACTTGCTACCAATCCTCAAGGCTTTCCTAATCAAATTATTTAAAAAAACTAATTACTAAGGGTATGTTCTTTTCTCAAACTTAAATTATGAACTTAAATTTAATATGTGGGAGAAAAAATTGTAGTAAAAAATTAAATTTATATTTTTTTGAGAGAAAATATTATAATAAAAAGTTTGAGTTTGATTTGTGATTTGAGTTAAGTAAAAGAAGATACCCTAAAACTTTAAACTCAAAGATGATAAAGGTGCCAAATTCTAAACATAATTGAGTGCATACAATTGACATATAAAAATGTCTATAAACACTTCAAAATAATAATAGTAACAATAATAATAACAACAACAACAACAAAAATGATATACAGATGCATCTTAATCTGTAACAGAGAAAGAAAAAAAAAATAAAAAGAAATCGGCTAGGCAGACTTTTGAATCCTGGCTTTGGCGTCCTCAGCAGCATTAGCAGCGTCAACCTGCATCTTCTCAGCCTTGAGGTCGGCTTGAGTCGCTTCCCTCTCGTTTCTCGCGGTCAACTTCTTAGCCTGTTCAACGTCACCAACACTTTCCGTGCACAGAACTTTTTATAAAAATGACGAAAGTTTTATTAATAAAATAACTTTTTAAAAAATTTTATTTATAAAATGACTACCTTAAAAGAAAAAAAAAAAAAAGGTGAATGTTCTCCTAAAAATCCATTTTATCAATTTCATTTTATTAATTAATCACTCTAGCAAATTTTTTGACTAAAATTATATAATAAAAATTTTAAACGGCTAGCATCCTCAAAACTATTATTAATTTAATTAGTTAATCAATTAAATATAATTTACCTGACCAAAAATGGAGGCCTTGACATACTGAAATCCCTCCTTCAACGAGACAAGGAAAGACAGGCAGTCCTTCTTCATCCGATACGTTGATGACGTGTCCTGTCGCCCCGTGCTCCTCACGGCTGTTGCGGTGGTCCGCGCGGGAGACGATCTGATCACTTCCATGACTTCGGGTATCAATCTCTTTCGTGTCTTTTGATGTTAGTAGCTAGTGATTGGGAAATGGGAAGGAAGCTTGTAATTGTGTTCTATTCAGTTGTGTGTGGTACGTGGCAGCTCCATGAGAGTTTGTTGTTGTACATGGCAGCTCCAAAATTTGTCCACGAGAGTCCAATTGGTCTCACCTCAATTGGTTATTTTTTTACTTGGGATTCAATACAAATATTATTAAATTCCATTTATAGCAGTTATTTAAAAGTAAACATTAGAGGATAAGGTGTAAAAGTAAAATGAAAGCTGGCCCTTATATAGAGTTATTGGGGCTTGTTCATTTCACCGATTCGAGTTTAAAATTTAAATTTTTGTTATAATAAAAAATTTTCAGAAATAATTATATTTAACTTTTTTGTTACAGTAAAAAGTTTTCAGAAATAATTATATTTAACTTTTTTGTTACAGTAAAAAGTTTTCAGAAATAATTATATTTAACTTTTTTGTTACAGTAAAAAGTTTTCAGAAATAATTATATTTAACTTTTTTGTTACAGTAAAAAGTTTTCAGAAATAATTATATTTAACTTTTTTGTTACAGTATAAAATTCTCATATAAAATCACATTTCAACTCAAATCAATGAACTAATAGGTCTGAGAATACACATTCTCATTTTTTTCCAACGTTAGATTCTTCTAAGTTTAGTTTTTAGGCACGTAATATTGCAATAAATATATTTAAAATTCCTCCTCTTTAGCAATACGTGTGTATCTTGGTTGCAAAGTGCCCTGTCCACTTTGCTAGGTGGGAATGGTTCAACGCCCCTCCCAGCAGTAAGTTGAAGTTTTTATCTTTTTTGGTTTGGGGTAATGGATTTTTTTTTTTTCACTTTTTAAATAATTTCCCACCTCCTATAATCTTTTTTTTTTGTTTTAGGCAATTGATTTTTTTTTTTCACTTTTTTAATAACTTTCCACCTCCTATCTTTAGTGGATTGTTACCCGTAATCTTGCTCAATCTGTCTATCAATTGCAATTAGAGTATTTGGGGTTTGATAAAATCCCAAGTATATCGCTTCCGATGTACTTGTTGATCTCAATTAATATTATTACACCATTTTTCATAAAAAAATAATTAATTTGTATATTTGATTTAAGAAAAAATTTCTTATTAATATTTTGTGTTTTAGCGTAATCATTTTTTTAGTATTATGTATTTTTTATAATTTTGAATTAGTATATTGACCTTTTAAGAAATAGTTTTTTTAGTACTCTAAGATCCTTTTTTAGATGTGAAATGTCATATTTATTTTTTGTTTTTTAAAAAAATTAAGAATATTTAAAAACGTATTAAATAAAACAACTAAAAAGAAAAAAAAGTAAAATATTCTTAAAAAATAAAATCAGATCTGACTTTAAATATTTTTAATTTATTTAAAACATAAATTTTTGTAAAATTCAGTATAAATGTAAGGTCTCACAGTACTGAAAAATAATTTCTTAAAACGTTGGAGTATAATTTAAAATTATTAAAAACATGGTGTATTAAAAAATAATTACATTAAAACACATAATATTAATATGAAATTTCCTTTTAATTTAATTAATAGAGCTGGTATTCGTCTCCTTTCTAAAATAAAAATAAAAATAAAAATAAAAATAAAAACCTCTTTCGAAAGGGCAAAAACGATAGGGGCATAGTAGTCATTCTGACATTTCCCAATCCGTCGCGGCTATATATACCCAGAGCTACAAAAGCTAGGGTATAAAAAGCCCCAAATTTCTCCGCTCCAAAAAAGAATTTCGAAGCAAACGTTCAACAGACCAGACCCCAGACTCAACAACACAACCGAAGCAGCTCTGCTCACCTCTCCAACAAACCGTTAGCCACCAATTTTGTAACTTCAAATTTCATCTCGCAATTCCATTTTCCATTCACGAATTCCTTTTCTTTGTTTTTTTTTTCCAACAGTTTCTCGCAATCTCCACAGATTCACGAATGGAAATGATTTTTCCGCCGAATTCTCGTTAAAATTTGAATCTTTTATGCACTCTCTGTGTATTTGACCCGTTTTGTGGCAGATCGCGTGCGGTGACGAGGAATAATGGCGACGTTCGAGCTCTACCGGAGGTCGACGATCGGAATGTGCCTGACGGAGACTTTGGACGAGATGGTTCAGAGCGGCACTCTCAGTCCCGAGCTCGCCATCCAGGTTCTCGTTCAGTTCGACAAGGTCTGATCAATTTCGTATTTTTTTTTTTTTTTTGTCAAGTTGCAAATTTTTTTTTTTTTTGAAGGTTTTGTGATTTTATTTTATTTTATTCAGTCTATGACGGAAGCTCTGGAATCCCAAGTGAAGAGCAAGGTCACCATCAAGGTAAGGTTGTTCGTCGGGATTGATTCTAGAAGTAAAGGTTCTTGGATTGTTGCTGTTAGTTCCTGATCTTATTTTCGTAGGATGTTGTTTCTCAAAGTTATTGGTTTTTACGACGTGTGTGTCAAATATAATCTCAATTTGCAAACAGTCTGGTTATTAAGTATGACTAATTATGGTTATAGGCCTGGATGATACAGTTGTGTCGGTTGGTGAACAGTATTTCCTTGTTGTTACCCTTCAAGGGCGCGTTTGCGTATCTTTAGAATGTATAGTATTTTTAATTTGAATTTTCTTGTTCAAAGATAGATGGATCTTTCAGCAAAGTAGTTTTGTGAAAAGTGGGTCTTCTTAGCGGTTAATTTCGTATAAATGAAATCCACCCACATGTTCTATTATTTTACGTAGTTTGTGAGAAGTTATGTTGGACTAGTAAGGGTGTAAACTAAATGAAATCTAATAAAGTGGTCAAGCGTACAAGAAGTCACCCAATTGAGTGACAAAGTCTGTTAATTGCTGCCAGTTGATGACTACGTAGTTGGTCTCTGAATCTTAATATCACCACAAACTGGTGTTTATCACTTTCACTAATACGTATTGGATGCCTTTTCTTGGAGGGTTATCGGTCATCCCAGTTTGAGTTGTATTTCATTTTCTTTTCTTTCCTTTAATGAATTGCTCTTAGGGGTTAGGATTTATGTGGGATGTATTAACTTTTGTCCAAAAAAGAAAACGAAGGATCTTGTAGTGAACATTTGCTTTTATATTTGGAAAACTAGGTTTGGATAAAAAAAAAAAGAAAAGTGAACGAATAAGATCTAATCATCTGGTCACTGATGAACATCTTTCCCAACCGGAAAGAGAAATAGTGTGGGAAGATAGGCTACTCTGGAATGGTGGGCTGCATTTGAAATACATGAAACCAGTCTTTAAGGTGTATTTCCTGTGCACACTTTGTATTCACCGTTCTTAAAAATTTCCATCAAAGATTCATAAGTAAGTTCACCTTTTCTACATATGTATATAGAAATGTGGACTCAATCTGTGATTTTGTATGCACGCAACACGTGCTTGTGTATCCATGTAAAATATAAATGTTCTCATAGTTGTTGCAGTTGTTTCTAGACTACAAATCTTTATTTGATCTCTTTTTATTAGTATGTTTATAAGGAATAGCCATTTTTTGTTCAATTCATGTGGATGATGTTCTTGGATTTCAAAAATAAATTTATGGATGTTTCTATGTTCGTTTCTCGCCTCCATTTTAATGCTTTATAGCTTCTTATTTATTGGGAGTCTTCTCAATTGTTATTTGTAAATGTTGTTAGGAATTTTAAAGCTTTACAGTTTAGGCACTGACTATAGTTGGCAATATCTTACTTGTCTGCGATGATTGCCTTCCCTTATGGAATGCTTTATTTTAGCGGAAAACACTAAAGGCACTTTTTCACTGATTCTTGGCTTAAGTTAGTTCTTAGAATTAATTATTTTTTACAATCTTCTTTGTATGGTTCTAGAACAATCTTTTATGTTGATGCGCAAGCTCCTCTCTACTCTTCTGCGTGTAATTCTAAAATGAAGAGATTATCGTGTCCAAGCTAAAGAAAAAATATAACTTATACACATGAGTTAAAAGAACAAAATTGCTTTTTGGCATTATTATTTTGACGTATGGAGTAAAAGGTCACTGTACTGGGATGGAGTAGAAGTAATAAAAGATGAATTGGTGGATCTTGAAAATCTTAACAAATATTCAGAGAAGTTTACCTTTCTTGCAGACCGGTTCTTATAGCTTTTTTTTTTTTTAATTGATGCAAATGCAAGATCAGGACTTACAAAATCATTTTCTAGTTAAAAGATCTACACGATACAGAATAAGTCTGCACATTGACAAATCATAAAAACAGAATAGGTCAAAGTTTGCTTTTCTTTATTTTGGCCCCCATGTTCAGTGTATGGATCAGGGTAAAAGCAAGAGTTCATTGTTGCATGAGTGTAAAATTTCAATATGCTAATTGGTTACTGTCACCTGCTACATTGACTAAACTTTCCTATTGGTTGCCACCCAATTTAGCATATATTAACATTTTTGTATTTTTATTCTAAAAGTAGACGGAAGAAAATTGAACTGTCATCATTTTAGCCGGCTCCTTGGCCATTTTTTTGAAGTTTTGATTCTTTCAACTAGCTGAAAATTGTCTCTCTTACTTGTACTGAACATATTCTCATAATCTATCTTACAATTGTCTACGGTTGAAGAAGAATGGAGGTGCCTTGAATAACTTCCCTAATTTTGATTTTCTTAACTTCTGTGATTATGTGAGATTGGAATGTGAAGTTGATGGGAGTTTACATGTTTGCCCAATTGCCCCCTGCAGGGACATTTGCACACCTACAGATTCTGCGACAACGTTTGGACTTTCATCTTGCAGGATGCTCTGTTTAAGAATGAGGATACTCAGGAAAATGTGGGTCGGGTGAAAATCGTGGCATGCGATTCAAAGCTGCTCACACAATAGGGTGTTGACCATTGGAGAGAGAACGCTAAATAAGTCTTATATTCTGTTGGTATGGTAGTACTGAAGAGGGTAAGGAAGAACATGAGAAAACAACAAAAAGTCTCCATTTACTTGCAGGAACTGGCGACTTTGCGAGAGATTGAGCTTGAAATTCCGCCCTTTTTACCTTGACACGGCTATATTTGTTTATGTGATATTGATGATGTTGTGTGATTTATTTAATGAATATTGCTAGGTTTCATTCAGTTTGCTTTTGAGATTGAGAAGACAACAGTTCGCAGACCAAATTGTAATATGAGGTGTATACTTTGTACTCTGAATGATGCTAACTGGCAAACTGCGCTGACGAGAATGAAATCTGCTGCTGTTTCTTGAGAAATTTGTGGAAGGAGTTCCAGGTTTTTTTGCCAATGAAAGACGGGGTTAAAAAGTTCTTTTTGGTAGAAATGCCATAGATGAGGTTAAAAAGTTGAAAGCTTGAAAAGTTGTTTCAGCTTTCAGTTTTTATGATCGAGGAAAACCTTTTAACAGTCAAGAAAAAACAAAACAAAGGAAGAAAATCACTACTGTTTTTACTTTTTCCCCTTCTTTCTTCCGCAAGAAGGGAAACCCGTTTCACCAAATCTCAAAATAGTTTTATCGACGTTGGTTCATTTGAATTTTTAGTTCCAAAAAACAAATCTGCTTCCTGAAAACAGGGATTAAAGTTTGGGTTTGAATTTATACGCGAGTGTAGTTTAAACTGACGTTTGATAACGTAAAGTCTAGACAATAAATATTTAAATCAACGTTTGGTTAAAGTATTAGAACTGTGGATTTTTAAAGTTAAGTTTGACTTTCAATTTTAGGTTTAATGAACCTTAAATTTAAATTTAAGTTTAAAATGTTGTGCAACTAAATAAGTGTTCCAATCACATTTTTTAAATCCTCTAACTAAACAACTCAGTAAAACTATCTAGCTCTGCAGTCCACACATAATAAGCAAAATGTGGGTCCCACTGAGGCGGAATTCACTTGTTCTGTTTCATGAGAATAATTATCATGATTCACTTCAATTTGATCTCAAAATTGAGATGCAACTTCTGCACAAAAGTAAGATGATGAACAACAACCTCTAAAATTATTGCCTCGTCAACGACCACATTATTAGTCAAACAATAATGGACCAAGCCATGAGCACCAGATTTTTCAGGGAAATTATCACATTAGAATTGGTAACCCCTTAGTTCCAAATTACTCCAAAGTTCAAACCACTCACTACTACTTTTCTTACATCTTTCATTTATCGAAATTAATAAGCTAAAAGCCATCTTTGTTAGTTTTCAACATTCATCACACGAATTAAGAGGTTGTTTTTTTACAACGAAATTCTAAAAAAATTTGAACTTAAGTTACAACTTTATTTAAGTTCATGTTCTTTTGTAAAATTTGAGTTTGAACTCGAATTTGAACTCGAGTTTGGAGATAAACTCGAGTTCAAATTTTCTCTTCAACTCGAGTTCATAAACTCGAATTCAAATTAATGAACAATATTTTTTCTATTCTAAAAAATGTCATAATTTTTTCGTTTTAATTCTGATTGAGATGATTTTTTT